GACTCCTTTATAAACTCCTTTATAAAACTTTACCTCCTCTGCTTAGGGACTTGAGCAAATTTAGACACTGGAAACAAGAAGAGCTGTCCAAGCCGGAAGTAGACTCGTCGAAGAACATAACCGGGGGATTGTTGACGAGCTCCAGCGCTATCGACAGCCTCTTCCTCTGCCCACCGCTGAGACTCTGGGTCTGCGTGTTGCTGGCTTCGCGTAGGCCAAGCGTTTCGATAATCTCCTCAATCTGTCGATTCGATTACAAGGAAAGATTTCAAGCACGAGACTTGCTGAAATAGTCTGACTTATGTCTCTATTACGAGGAGAGACACGAGAGGAGAGAAATCATGTTTATTCGTACCACTACTTTCTTGGCATCTTGGCTGATGTCCTTCCCCAACTTCAGATTCGCCGAGACGGTCATCGCCTCGTAAACGGTCAAGTGAGGTAGAAGCTGGTCGTCCTGCATGATATAGCAGGACATCTTCCGAAATCTTCTGAGATTTCTGTCCTTTCCATTTATCAGCACCGAGCCGCTCAAGTGCGACGTTCTAGAAGGTATCGGAAAACGATTACAATTCTCGCTCAACCCAAATGCGCCGTTAATTTTCCGTCGAAATGATCTTACTTATAGCCTGCTAGAACGTTCATAAGCGTGCTCTTTCCAGCGCCGGACGGTCCCATAATCGCCGTCAGCTCTCCAGATCTGAATTTTCCGTTTACGCATTTTAGAATGGTTTTGTATCCTGCAATATAAAGCGAAGATAATAAAGAGAAATGGAGGATACGCGAGAAATATGTTCCTCTATAATCTAAAACATTTTGTCCGCAGTGCGTGATTATATCACTAAAAAGATTTGTAAATTTTTAAGAAAATTTAAAGGTTTCAGAAATTGAAACTTTCCAAGCGTGTATCACTATTATGTACAGTTATAGAAGAGATACATTAAATATGAGTGGCATTATCCGATTTTGATTAACGTGAAGTGACAAATATATCCAGCAAAAATAAATAAATTAGTATTTTATAATATAAAGATCTAAACGCGCTCCAATTCTGGCGATAGCTGATTGCCAACATTCTCGCTACGATCTTGCCAATGACGTTCGCCAGATTATTATATAGAGATACATTCGAATTGAATATCCCTCGGGCAGACAAAAACCCCTGGCTGACCTCTTTATCGCTGGTGCAGTTGCACCGCGCGGACGATGCAACTGCACCGAAACGTCTACCTGCATGCCCGTACATTTCTATCGATTTTTTCGGCCAGGTCGTTCACACACGTTGCGATGGGACGAAAAGCCTACCGCATGGTACCCCGCATATTCGATTCGCCACTTCAACCCGATCACTCTAACTTCTTGAATTATCTACGTCTTCGTTCTACAGCGAGGCGTTATTGAATCGATACGCGCGGCGTCGAAAATACACCGTGCCGATACGTTATTCCGAGGCATAAGCAGTTAATTTGATTACAGTAGGCGGCTTCGTTCGTCCCACCTCGGTTTCTTTTTTATTTCATTCTCGCGATAACGATCGCGCGATTAATGATTGATAATGAACTCGACGCGCGCTGCTAGAACGCGAATTAGATTTTCTCCCGGGAATTGGACGTGTGTAATTGCAATTGCCGCTCATCCTCGAGACTCACCTCTCTTTCTGCCCTCGGACACGCTGTAGGCCAGGTTCTTGAACTCCACGTCGACCGGCGGTCTTTTCGGGAGATGCGTCAGTGCTACCGCCGGCCTCTTATTGCTCTGTCCGGGACTGGCGCCGCTGTGATTCGGCACCTTCCTGGCCAGAACACCACCGGTGCACACCGTAGCCGCAGCCCCGTTCGACGTGGTGCCGTTGCAACTGCAGTGAAGGTTGTTCTGCGAGCTGCAACAACGATCGAAACGTCCATTCGTTAATTTCGCCCACCGAATGTCTGCATTCGACCGATAACGAGCTTAGCGTATAGGGTGCTCTATAAATCGCAGAAATCCGCTGAACTTTTACGTGTCTTAGCGTGACCTTGCCAAACATATATGTTGTACTATGATAACGCCCACGTATTGCTTCTGTCTCCTGCTTGAGAAGCGCAAAACCGCTGTACACGTTAAAAAATAGCTATCTATATGCGATCCTCGCCACGTTGAATGCGGACTACGAATCAACGAAATTTTAGGAGTATGCTCCATAAGACTGTAATTAACTGAAAAATGAGTTCGCCTTATTGTGCACACGATATCGGATGAAGAAACAATTGGATATTAAGCGCACATCCTCTTCAACGTTTCAACGCAATTCGCGTTTATTTTGCGTGTGTGACAAGCAGTGCCAATCCCATTAATTAATCCGTAGCATTGAGTAATGAGACCGATTGTCTTCGAAAACGTAGAGCGTTGTTGAACGTGAGATAGATGCATGCAATATTGCGGAACACAGAATATTTAGTTCATGGTCACTTTCAGCATTCGAAGAACAATGGTGTACGTGATGTCTCCTCCTATCTTATTAAATTTGGGTTTTCCGATTTATACTATAATTTGCAAGTGCATTAAGGAAGAATTTATTACCGCGCAATGTCCAATGAGCATAAAATACGATATCGAATTTATCCAATAGTATTATAATCGCGTGTAATAAATCTAGCACGTAGAAAAAATTCAGTTCATCTCTTCAGAATCGTTTCCCTTATATTTGTGTATCGTATATCGTCACGGTGCATCATTACGTCTCGTAGCTAATAACGATTGTACGTGCGCTCTGAGTTTCCTGCTGTAAACGTAAATTTTCTGCAATTTCTGCCGCGGTTATGGGCCGCGTGAAAGTTTACTATTTTCTAACGTTAAAGGAAGACAAAAACACGGGATCAGTTATTTTTACTATTTTGCGCTCGGGTAGACATGAATAAGAAACTTTGCTGTATTGAGATGATCGATATAAATATTTCTGTGACTGTCTCTAATCACCATTTGGATGATTCACTATCGTGATTTAATTTTTTGCGAGAATCGCGGATCGATCATACTTATACGGGAAAATTTTTCCTCGCCTTTTTATTATACTCGCCAAAGCAATCAATTTTATTGCGTATATCCGTCTATCGTCCATCGGTGATCGCGCGCGTTGGAAAAACTTTCAATGGAACGCAATAAAAGTGGTAAGTAAAGTTTGACGTTGCGGTAAGTAAATCCCGAAGAAACGAGAGAACGTTGATATTAATTCGCAAAAAAAAGACCAAATAATTTGCACTCAACGGACAGCGCCAATGAAAATAGCCACACTTATTCGGCAGTTGGGTAATCGGAATGTCTCGTAAAGATTTGAAGTTCAAGTAGAATCAATAAAACTTCATGCATTTATTTTGCCACCCCGACGGATATTACTCACTTTCAAAAGCTTTACTTAGAGTCATGAATAAGCGCATTTAAAAATCATTGACTTAGATATTGAACCAAGACATCACAAAACACATAAATTTAAAAGAGCACAATGCTATTATTATCTTTTATCATGTAAAATAAATTACTTTTAAATTTAGCTTAATTTATTTTTAAATTATCTAGCTTTACAATATATGATATTAATGGTAAAATTGTTAGTTTATTTTAATTTGTTACTTTAATAAATTGCAGAGAGAAGTATGCGCAGATTTTTTACAAATTTAATAAATTTAATGGAGAATTTTTCAAGGCACGTATTTTTGTATTTTTGACCGCGTGGCAAATGAGTCAGTCGAATAGACAGCGTGATCAAAATGCGAATGCGTAATTTTCGATACTTTCGCTGACGATAATATCAGGTAATAGAAATATTGCGTGCGAAACTTCAACTCGATTCTATACGCCTGTCTGCATTTGTATAGCCAAGTCTTACAAAACCTTGCTCTTTGCAAACTTTCGTCTTATAAGTTCTCCTTGTTGTCTATCGATTTTTCATATGTATGATATTAAAACGTAATAACACTATAAAAATTTAAAATGCCAAGTACCAACTTCCTATTTTTCCGTAATATTAAAGAATCTATCTTGCAATATAGCACTGAATTACGTTCAACTACTTAAGAAAGAAGTACTTTATATTCCGTACTTAGTAAAAAATTTTGTGTTAAATTTAACACATTTTACATGTCCTAATTTATCCATTCTAATTTTTATGTTAATCTAATAAAAGGGAAATATGTAAATAAATAACAGTAATGTGTAAAAAATTAGCACAAAATTGTAACACATAGACGCTATCTGAAAGCAAAGTTTACATTAACATATTTATAATGTTAAATTTAATTTAAAAAAAAATTGAATGTTATTCCTTTTCCTCTTTTTCTTGCAAAAAAAAACAGAAGACAGCGATATCTTTTTATTATATAGAGATGTGCATTATTTGAAATAGATGTATTTGAAATGGAAATACAAAATGTAAATTGCCTATTTTGTATTTTGCATTTAAAATACAACATTTTTTTCAAAAACTATTTTACATTTCCATTTAAATGGTTTTTATGAGGTACCCATTTTCTATTTTAAATGCATTTTTCTTGAAAACTAAAAATTAATCGTGATATCAATAACACCGTTTAACAAAAAAAAGCACACAAACAAGAATACAATCATTTCCCGTATTTTTTTAACGCTGAATACGGTCCCGTTTATTAAATCGTGCGTTCGCGTAAAAGAGTCACGGTGCGGTCTCACTTCGCGTATACTTGGCGCGAGACACTACCGTGTCTCTTGATTGCTCTATCACGTCACAATTTTAAGAAATTTGCAGTTAAAATTGCAAAAGGAGACTATTTTAATGTATTTTGTCACATTATAACTACAATAGTATGTGACGTGTTGGAGAAGTTGTAATTAAATTTTTACAATTTAAATTTATATTAAAAGAAATAAGAATTTAAGTCAAGTATAAGAAATAATAGTATAAGAAATATAAATAACAAACAATAATAATAAGTAAAACAGAACCGTTGATATACAATTAAAATTAGAGAGAAAAATGCCATTTACGATCTGGACTGGACAAATAATAAAAAATAAAAATTTAAATATAAATAAATATAAAAACAAATATTTAAAAAAACATTTTTATTTTAAAAACCATGTTAAAAATGCCTATTTCCCATTTCCTATTTTAGTTGTCTAATTGTAAAAGCATTTTGTATTTTGCATTTTTAAATGAAAAGATTTCAACTAAGTATTTTGCATTTTTTATTTCAAATGGGTTTGGACACCCATTTTGCACATCTATATATATAAAGGAAGATGTCGATTTAATAAATGGAGACTCTTATAGAGAGGGAAGTAACACAATTTAGGTGCTCATATCAATACTTATAAAATATGTCACCAGGAAATCGTGCATTTACATATAAATTATGTTATTTTTACGTTGACTATTAACTTCACGCAGAAAAGTCAAAATAACACAATGGCAATATGTTACATTATCACCAGTGTATGTTAAAAATTTACCATGAAAATTTCTACACAGATAGAAATCCTTTCAAATACAAAAGGTTTTTTACCGTATAAATTGCTCATACAAAAAAATAAAAAAAAGACATAAAAATATTATATATATATTTTTTTTAGGATTTATTTTGGAGGGGGGAGAGATATTGCTTCGGACTAGTTTATATCTTCATCGTACGAAATATGATGAAACGCAGTAACATGGAGATGTATCTTTTTACTCGCTCTACTGACTCTCAGGAATCATCGAGAGAGTCGCACAAAGGAAAGGCGTCTTTGTCCGGTGCGTTACGGGTGCACTCGACGATGAGTCAGAGACTCGTGAATACCGACTGTATCTCGCGACACACACACACACCGATGTTTACTTTCAAGAAATTGCAATTGAAATTACGAGTGAGAGCACTGAGAGCTTAAACTACACACGTATGCAAGTATGAGTTCGCGCATTTCTCGGTCTTGGAAAATGCTCAAGTTCGAGAAATGCTTAATCGAAGCTCCCGCGAGGTCAAAAACCTTGACCGTGATCGTCAATACGAGCCTTGAAATTAGAATCAATTGTCATGCTAATAAGCAATTCTTCAATAATAATCCATCAATACAGAATATCCTTGAATATTTCGGAATATATCGCTGTTCTTTCTACCTGTGAATTTTAGTTTGACTTTAAAAAAAATTGATTTATCATTGAGTTTTCCTATCGTTTGAGATAATAAACGAGATAAAAAGCTAGCGTGATTAATTAGTTGTGCATTATTATGTTTAATCATTATTTTCGTCTCAATTATTCTTGCACGCGAAAAAGATTTATATCGCAGGGGATTTTCATTCTGACTTTCATTAGCTTTGACAATAACAAGTTTACTTGCATGATACGCAATTTAAGAATAAGTTACCTACAGACAGAATAAGTTACGTCATTTTATAATGGAGCTCTGTATTTTAGCATGCAAATTGAACGTTATTTTTAGCGGCAATAGATTAAATTTGGTCAAAAACCAAGTTTAAGGACAAGCCTTGAGAAAAGCACGATCGAAGCTAAAGCCTTGAAATCCCTTTTAGACCTCAGTATTTAAGGAAAAAGGTTGCGTGTAATCCAAGGGTTGTATTCTTCCCCTCCCTCATTCATAGTCTTCATGACGCACGGCCAAATTCTGACTTATGTACATCGGAATGAATCTATTGCTATTTTTAATAGCTTGATCTTCGAGATTATGATACAAAGGTTAATTTACAACAAACTAAACTAATCTTCATATGATTATTAGATTCATTAGTTACAATTCGCTGCATCTTTTGAAGCAATTTAGTATAGCACTATTATATAAAATAAAAAATTAATTTTACGTTTATCACATATAACAGATTTAACATAATTAATTGAGGAAAAAATCAATTTGATGTTAAATAATAGTTTATGCTGATTCTAGAACTGTTTGATTAATTAAACATTATAAGAGCTTAGTGGTCGTGAGTGCGGATGGACGATGTTAATTTATATACAAATACATATAAATGTGTATTGTCTGATACAAATTTGTATCAAACAACATTTCTATAAGAAATCATGATGTAACATCGTATAACGTAAATCGATATCAAAATCGACAATCGTAGTAAGTAATCGTAAGTAAGTGTTATAGAATTCTAAACGGTAAATCATAAGCGGTTTATATTCAACCCGAGGCCGAACAAAGAAACTAGATTCCCTTTTCTTAAGGCCAGAAACGAAGGCTGTCTGATAGAGTTCGAGGTAATCTGGAGACCTTCTTTCTAAGTACTATTCCATACTGTTCCATCTATTGTGTAGGTGAATAATGTAAAAATTCTTCTTTAACACAACAGTTTTATTTTTTCTTTACAATCATCAGCTATTAATAATATATTAGTAACAATTTTGATTTATTTATTTAATAATCTCTCTTAATGACATAGCAATTATAAAACATTAAAAACCCTCTATAACCAGCAAGATAAATTATATTACAGTAACGCATAATGAGTCTACTTCTGTTCAATCTGTATATAGCGGATTTAGCTGAGGTAATGGAAAAGAGAGGAATAGGAGGAATAGAGGTAGATAAGATTAGATAAGACAAAGATTTTAGTGTTTAATAGGAAAAGAAAAGAAGGCAACTAGGTATGGAAATGGGGTAAAAAATATATAGAAGAGGTACAGACTTTTAAATATTTAGGTTTTACGTTTAACAAAAAGGGTAACTATAAGGATCACATTAGAGAATTGAGGAAAAAAGGTAGGACGGCGTTAGAAAAGTCTGGAGACTAGGAGAAAGATTATGTAGAGAGGATTTCTTAAGGAGGTGGATGATGTTTAAATATTTGGTGCAGAGCGTTATGGCTTATGAGGTAAAAATTTGGGGATGGAAAGAGAAAGTAGAGTTGGAAAAAATAATGATGGACTATATTCGTTGGATATTTGCTATAGAATTTTGTACACCAAGGTATGTGATATCAACGGAACTATAATAGGTATGGTTAAATTAAAGGTGAGATGAGACATAAGGGCAAAGAGATATGAAGAAAGAATTTTAGATGGTATGGGAGGAGATATTGTAAGGCACTGTTGGAAGGAAAAGGAAGTTTATGGGGGGAAGGATATGTATGGTATTGAGAAAAAGATATTACAACAGGAATGGATGGGGAATAGGCATACTGGAGGAACTGAGAAAAGAGGGAGCGAATTTAGAGAATGAAATAATAAGTAGGGAAACGGATAATCAGAGACAATGGGAAGAAAATAAAATCCTAGAGGTAAGGTATAATAAAAGATATAGAGTGTTAGATAAGTTAGATGGAGGTCCGGAATATTTAAAGAAGAATAATTTAAAAAGGGTAAGGATAGGTGATGATGTGAGAGTTTTAATAAAACTGAGATGCGGAAATTTGGAAGAAGCAAACAAATATTGGTTAGAAGAGAATTGTAAAAAATGTATTTTGTGCGGCGATGGCAATGACTGTATGGAACACTATGTAGAGGAATGTCAGAGAGTAAGTGTATGGTTTAAGGATTTAGGTAATGACGGGGCGGAGAAGTGGAAAAGGCTGTGGAGCGATAATCTAGATTTAGATAAGAGTAAGATGTTGCGGAAATTATGGAAGGAAAGGGAAAAGGAATTTAAAAAAAGAAAGGAAATAAATTAAGCCAAAGATAAGGATGTGATAGATTTAAGTTTAAGTAGTTAGGTTAGTTTAAGAGAGCAGTGAGTGTACGCATGGTATGGACGGATGAGTGAGGATAAGATTTAATTGTAAACCAAGTCCCTTCCTGGCTAATTTTTGTAAAGCTGAAGTAAATAAATTCTATTCTATTACAGTAACGCAATCTTTATTATTTCAATTCCATCAGCCATTATTTTTGCTTTCATCAATCAAATTTTTTTGTATAAGTACCAATACTTGTATGAGTCAAGTAAATATATAATAGCTTTGATATTACCTATATTATAGTGTTTCAAATTTTTATCGTTTACATAAGGAAAGACTTTTATGTAATCAGGTCAAATATATTCCTCATTTTTTTCTCTGTACTTTTGCCTTTACCGTATAATTTCGTAAGAAATTCAATGCATTTTCAGCTATTCATTATTTAACGATTTAACATCTAATCTAGTATACATTCGGCTAAAGTTTAAATCTTACTTCAATGGTGCCAGTTTACTTATAATAAAATGTTTTGATTGGCTGCATGTGTTTTATTTTTTTCATTTATGTATAGAACTTATGTATAGTGTTCATTTTTATGTATAAAACGCATTATGCACACGGCACTTATTTATGATATACAGATTTCTCCATTATAAAAAAAATATATCAATTATAATAAAAACTAAATTATTAACACTAATGTAATACTATCTTAAATATTTTTAATGAAATAATTCGTTAAAATTTGCCGTTAAATTATACAAAAAATATATTTCACAAATTTATTTTGAAATAATTCACCTTGATCATTCTCGTGTTTCGTGTTATTAATTTTCCTAACTCGTTACCGTTGACTTTTATTTTATTATTAACTGATTTTGATTTTTTACCTTGAAGCTGAACATAGCATCGTGTAAAGTTTAAAATCACAATTATGTTTACGTGTACATTTATATATCAATGATTCCATTAATCTTTACGTAACTGATGTTTTTATTGTTCGAATATAATTTTTATTTTTAACGTTACGAGTGATTGTTATGAATAATCGTAAGCACTAAAAACGATAAATTATTGCTATTTTAATTTTTACTTATAGCAGGAATTTTATTTTCTTTCAATTTATCGTTAACCTAGCGGCCTCAAATTGAAATCCAAACTTCGAATAACGCACAAATAATAATTAAGCGTATAACAATCACAATATAATAATAAATTCTTACCCGTGGACCACATTGTTTAGATTTTCCAAATGTAAGGAGGGAGGGGGTGATCTGATCGTCACCTGATGACTCCCACCTGGAATAAATTGCACCTGCTCATCGCCGCTGTACCTGGATGATCCGCCACCGCCCAGGGTGAGATTCTTCAGGTCAGCCATCATCCAATCGTGCTGTAAGCACATTTACATGTTAGAATAACTTTTTATTACACCAAGCAACACACAAACTTATTTCTACGCTCGACTTTTATTCCGACAAGACAATGATACTCGAAAGCGTGGACAAGTCCAAGTTGTCAAAGGTACAACCCGTTGAGAGTACTCAGGCAGCGTGCAACACTTGGAATTCCATTATGATATCCTGCGCACTTAAAGTAATGGCTCAGAACTGTCGGGGCATTTTGCAGCGTATAAGAATCGTGTCGCGTCTCCATCAGAAGCAACATTTTCTGTTTCGTCTTTGTCATACGGTTAGCTGAACATGCCGTGACGCACGATATCGTAACTGTAGGTACTGTATATTTCAATGCTGTATTATCGAAAAATTTTTAAGAGAGACGAAACGGAAGATTTCAATAATACGACCAGTCGATTGAGAATGGTCTCTAGGAAGCCCATCGATTCGACAATATTAGATACTGTATATATAAATGTTGGAGATAACCAAATGAACATCTCTTCTTTCAAGTCGATAAGATTCGTTGCGTGAATCCGTGAATTGTTAAAACGTGTAACTCGATAGATTTTCCATTTCGTGCCTGTAGAAGAATGCAAAAAATTAAAGGCACAAAATAATTTCTATATTGTAAACTTAAACTTAAGTTTAGAGTGTAAAAATTACTTTTTGGAAAAAAGTTTTAACTTACAATTAGACTTATTAGAATATTCTTTTGTATTTGCAGACTTAATACAAACAACAAAATAATATAATTCATTAATTTTGATACACGCCATTCTCATCATAATTAAAGTAAAATATATATTATATACAACGTATTTCTCGTACTAATCGCAAACGCGCATCTATTAAAATAATGTGCATATTGAGTTTTCTTGCGTATACCAATCCAGAGAGTAACCGGAAAAACACTCGAAAAAATAGAAATTGTGTTTATCCATTGTGTTGCTGCAAATGTTGCAAAATTATTAAGAAAAAAAAATATGTTATCGTGATCCGCGACATATCACAGTCATTTTCGAACAATAATGTCGGTAGCTAAGTTCTATATTCTATGTTCTTTATGAATTATCATGCAAATCTGCAGAGAAATATGCATGAGTTCCCCCGGTACCGATACACGCGCGAATCGAACAAACTTTGAATAATCGTCGCTTTCAACCGGAGAGAAGAATATCGCTTGGTTTCACCAAGAATAATAGTGGTTGTCTTAATATCTGTAATGCGTCTAACATACATACGGCGTGGTAAACGTGTCAGCATTAAAACCTACCAACATACTTTATTCGAATTGTCAGCGGTAGATGTAGAACAAAGAAATCCATTGCGACGCACGAGAAAGTGTAATCGGTATTTGCGTCATTATAACGGCAAACAGAGTTTCCTAATAGGGCTTTACTCTCTTTTCAGGAAATTGGCAGATGAAATCTTACTGTTGATTACTACACAGTGACGTTCTTCTCTCCCGGAAAAAAGATAACTTCCACAATGCGAACTTGAATTTTGCTCTTTTTGATAAGAACGGATTATCCGTATCGCGTATAGACGACGTATTATTGCCGGCCGAAAGAAAAACAAAAGAAGGAGTGTTCTTTAGTCGAAGAAACAAATCAAATATCGGAGAGACAAGATACACGGAAATTACTATACACTTCGCACTTTACTAAAACAATCAACAATCAACCCCGTCAAAATAACTAATTTCAAATTTCTTGTTCTGAATTATAGAAATTATTGAGGTGCTTTTGTTGGAATTTATCTTGACTTTTTGAGATAAGAAAATGATTATATGTGCCAATTTATATTTTCCATCAATCACTCTATATTTCGAAGTTCTGTATATGGAATATTTATATGTAGCAAAATAACTCCACTATTCTTTAAATTATTAGAATGCTAGGCTCGTTACATGCAATGCAAAGAGTAATGAGATAACGGACCAATGATACGAGCTAAATAAAAACATATTCTATTAATAAATAGTTTATTTACACAAATATAAAAAAAACGAAATTTAATATATACGTTTCGACTTGACTTAATCTTCTTCAGTACAAGATTGAAAATATAAATTAAAATAACAAATATAATCATAACGAAAAATTAAAACGGCGATATTATCATTGATTATATATAACATTGTCGAAATTACCAAAAATAACAAAAAAAAAAGGTGAGAAATGTGAATGTAAGATCAAAAAATAAGAGGCCACGACCATAGAAAGAAACATGATCTTTTTATAAGTAACGTTGTTTAACAATCAAATTATGTTCGAGTTATTATGTCGTGAATTCAATAGTTAAAATAAAATTTGACGTATTCGTCGTTGAGAGGCGAGAATACGCTTGTCCAAAGTGTCCAGAAGAATTATGTCACGTGAAAATTCGAGTCAGATGGTGTAAGATTTAAGTCAATTAAAAAAAGAAAAAGGCTGTATAATCCAAAGTAAGAATGCAAATACCAATTGCCGAAATCCAAATTAAAGTCTGAAGGTATAAACATGATAATTGCACTTCTCTTAACCTTTCGCAGAACAAGTAAGGCATTAAAGATCCGATCGATATTTCAGTTTTGAATTTTTCGGAGACTTTACGGACTCATTAAAAAAACCTAAACAAGAATCAGGCATATATAACGGTATAAATAGATTCTTAAAGCCTTCGAAAGTATACTTGAATTTTTTCAGATTTTTATGGCACTATTACAGCTTGAAAATCTTAACTAGCCTAAAAGACCTACATGTTCGACGGAAGCAACAAAATTACACGTGTTCTGCAAAGGGTTAATACATTTTTTTTAGAGAAAAAATTAATGAAAAACTGAAACTTATAAGAATGTGAAGAAGTAATAGAAAAGATGTATGCCCAACCAATTGTCGTTTGCCTCCCATCATCACAAATCTAAGGGTAGGGGAGACCGGGGCAAACTCGACACGATTTTTTCAAAGGCAATTTTCAACAATTAATTAATCAAACAAATTTAATGGTACACATTTAAAGTGTTCCTTCAAGTACAAAAATTGCTTAAGGAAATTTTGCTGTACGTCGCTTAGTTTTGCCCCCAGGAAAGGAAAAGTGACGCGAAGACAAATTTTCAAATTGAAAAATGTCGGGGCAAACTCGACACTTTGCCTGATCGACACAATTTGATCTGGAACTTATTTTTTATTGTCTGAAACTAAACATACATTGTTCGTCATGTATTTAGAAAGTACAAAAATTCGGAATTAAGTAAAACAATCATTGGAAATAATGAGAACAAAAATTGTTAAACATTCAATTAGTTTCATCTAAATTCATGTCTGAAAAACAATTTATGCAAGTAAATTCGCGATTAGACAGGCGCACACATTTGCCATGGGCCATATAGCTATATGACAAACATTATTTGTTATTGGAAGCCGATAAAACGGCATGGTGTCGACTTTGCCCCGAACCTCGTTTTTCACTTTTGTCACTCCAAAAACATGAAAATTTTGAAAATATGCAAAAACTATTATCGGATTCGTATAAAGCATCGAATTTCGCGTCAAAATCACTTACCGCGCGATAGATTCAGGCAAGAGTAAAGCTCGATGAAAGAGTATAGAAATTTTCGAGAGAAAAATTACTTTTTACCATCAAAAACACTTATGTCGCGCTAAAAATTACACCATAACTCAGAATGTCACCAAATTCCGTTCATAATACTGGCACATAAAGACGCATTTACAGTGGAAAGGCAAGTTTCTACGATAGATTTAAATTGGCAAAAAGTGTCGAGTTTGCTCCGGTCTCCCCTACATGTCAAAAAATTGATAGATATAGTTTATTACAATTATAACTAATAAACATAGTAAAGAAAAAAAAAAAGAATCTACGATGTTCACACCTGAAATGTTAGAAATTTCGTCAAGGATATCAAAATATGCGCCGTCAAGAAACTCTCAGGCTGGTATTCATAGTCGGTTCTTATATTTAAGACCGTCTTAAGTACAATCTTAAGACGTCATGAACCAATCACAAAGCCGTATTAGCATCTTAAGACATTACTTAAAACAGTCTTGAAATAAGAACCGATTATGAATACCGGCCTTAGTGTTTTTATTAGAATTAATTCCATTGTTTTCATTCTTTGATATGAATTATTTCTGAAATAAGTCTTTTATAACAATTTTTTTTAAAATCAAGAACTTTAATGTTATCGCAGTTGAAAGTACGATGTAGGTTTAGGGTATATTCAGAAACCACCGTGTGTCTTGAAGGGTCTAGTCTAATATTTTTGATGTAACTATTGTTTCTCGAACGCGAAGTCTTTGTACACGATATTTGCAATGTATGCTTTTTGCACAATGTGTAAAAAGCGAATTTCATTAGAGAAAATTACTTTTCAGTGAAACATAAAGTAGTAGCAAATTTCACACGGCGAAATTGTAAAGTAGTAGCAAATCTCGTGACGATGCTGCGATAGAATGGGCTATCTTTAATTTATAAAAATCTCTGATCAACGTTGCTTGCAGATGCTATCAGAACAGGTAAATCTCGAAACTGAAGCCTCTCTAATTTATTCCCTTGATATTCTGAGGAGTTTGACATTTTGTAAGAATCTGAACAAACACGTTTCGGGAGTCATAAGTTGACCTAAACAATAAAAAAAGATTATAATAACATAATATTGAAAATGCCAAACAATCCAAACTTACTTTGTAATGTCAAGATATATAATGTATTCCTAAGAAAAAAGAGCAAACGCGATTAATTCTTTGTTTAGCGCAACTGATTCAATATTCTAAAATGTTTCAAATTTTAAACATATTTTTAATAAATTGAGTTTTTCTCGCTTTAAACAAAGAGAAACGTCTCTACATATATTTAAAAAAAAATAATAATAATATACAAACAAAATAATTAAAAATATAATAAAATTATTTATTCATTAATTATAAAAATGGAGGAGAGGGAAGGGAGAGGACCGGCTTCGGGTTCGAACATCAATAATCCTAAAGGGGATTAAGTCAGCACTGTGCGTACGTTATGCTATAATTCAGGGCATATCTCTCATTTACACAGCACACAGTATGCACACAGTATATCTTGCTGATGCTGTTTCCGCGTATCTCCCGTGTCAGAATCTCGAAAATCGAAGATCAGTTCGCGGCTATTTTGACCGTTGGAAATCACCGCGGCAGCGAGATCTCTGTTTTTGCAGGGCGTGCACGTGTCAGGAATTACGCCGGTCGCGTGTTTGTGATGCACGATGCGCGCAATTGCATATTGCACACGACGGCAACGGCGTACCCACCGCGCGCCGTTTCCACTGTTTCCGCCGCAACGTTCATCTGTGTCAGCAACTCCCGCAGCTAGGCGCCATTCGAAATGGGATTGTTCGGGTTTTATTATTCCGGGACGACACGTTCCAGAATCGGTCGGTCGGCCGCCAAGCGACCTTCTTTGTTTGAACAGCTAAACGTCCCGATCAGCCTCAGAGCGGCAATAGCCGCTCGATCGTTCCGAGTTTTCGTTAATTAAGCGCTCTGCTCACAACAGAATCAATTCTGCAAGTCTGATAAGGTACCTCGGAACTCGGAACTACCATGGAGTGTGCGGAAAAGCGATTCCCGTTTAGTTTTAAATGCAACGCTGAGATAAAGTTCAGTTTGGGATTCCCGACGAGCTGCACTTAACTCATGTAAGATTTATTTTCCCATATTAATCGCGGTAACAATTGCACTAATGAATTTATTATATATATTGTCTGCCAATGGACAACAATTTTCTGAACGTAAGTACGATTGATCATATTGATATATGCAAATTCTTCTCGTTAAATGCGATGTTATGCACATATATGACACGTGCTCGATGCAATTCGCTTATTGTACATTTGTCCTATATTAATGTTGATTCCAAGGCATTTATTAAATAACCCGGATCTTGATTCTAGTTCTAGATACGTTTGAGTCTGCCTTTATCAGACAGAGGAATCTCTTGTTCCGCCCTACGTGGCATGATAATAATGTTGGAAACTTCATTTAACAAATTATCTCTAAATAGAATTATAAAAGCTATACAGCAAAATCACAATCGTATAACGAACGCAGCTATAAATGTAACGCATCTCTAGTCGAAGATTTTTCCGTATGCTGCAAATAATGCCGTATGATCGTATCGCGGAAATAACAAGCGAAATAACGATGACTGTTTCCGTTGATGTCAATCGTCTCAAAAATAAATTAATATAAATCACGAGAGCCACAGATCTTCTCCCGCGTTCACCAAATCGCCAAAGACGAGAGATGGAGACGTCAATCGCAGGACGAAAAAATCGAATGGAAGCAGAAGCACTTACGATAGAGACTGAAGAGTAATATGTCGATGACCGGATAAATCGCGTGCGTTACTAAGTACGCGATCAGTGCGTTAACATCGTTACGCGGAGCTTGATTTCACAGCGCGTCACGATACATTCACATCGTCGCTTTGCGTATAGCGAGGCTAATTAGTTAATTGAAGGATCGGTGATAAAGCGGAATGACCGCTGCACTTGGGAATAAATTAATTCCTCCTTCTATCCCGTAATTGATTGCCGCATTAGTGGACGAGGGGGCAGATCCGCGGTGTCTATGACGCACAGCTAGCAATAAGAGTGGCTGAAGAACCACCGAAGTAGTTACACCGTGTTACACGCCCGTCCCATTGCACGGGCGCATCGTTAATCGACAACGTTAAGGAGACAACTCACCCTCGGGCAAAAGTGGGTTCAGCTACCGCCGCGACGTTCGAATTCATACCACGGCGACGACGCTCCGCATCTTCGGCCTGATGTCCGAAACACCTTCGGGTGGACCGCGGAAGAACAGAAGTGTCTCTGGGTATACAAAGGGGATCACCACTCTGGTCCTCGCACTCGCTCAGGAATACGCCACGATACCAAGCCGCGATTCCACCCCACGTATCGAATCTCTCGTGTCGTCTGATTACTGATGCACCGCCACCACTATGTCCGTAACACCGCATTCGTTCGGGGACATACTCCGGATGAACGTTCAAGAGCGATCGATCGCGAACGCTTTGCACTCACACAGCTGATTCTCCGGGTGACCGATCGAACCAGAATCGGAGGGTACGCACCGAACGGATCCACAACGCGCACTGCGACTGGACGCAGGGAGAGCGCCGATCTCTCCGCGACTCACCACCGCGATCAGCTGTCGAGCTCTTGTGCACCTCCATACCATCTCCACCGAAGACCGAGTGAGCCGAGCGGTAGGGTCCAGGGACGGCGGCGACGATGGCGCGATCGTTACCCTGCCTTATAACTTTCTTCTTTTCTTTTTGTCGTTGTTTGTTAGGCCGCGCGAACGAGAAAAGTTATTCGTTCCTAATGTCAACTGCATGCTTTTTCTCTCCTTTTTATGGAAAATCGATTTGGTGGGCTCGTATAAAGGAGCGGAAGAGTCGTGTGCGTAAATAAGGAAAACTATAAACACACGAGGCATGGGAAATTTGTCATCCAATTTTCTTCCCTCATCCCGCAACTAGATTCGTAAGAAAGCATTTTCCGGCATTTTCTTATTCATGCCTTTTAGTATATGCAACGCAGTTTACCAATGTTTCACATAGACTTGTTATTCTTGAGAAGAAACAAATTTCTAATTTTTCTTCGTTGTCTCTATTTTTTAAATATCTCTACTTCAATCTCGAGAATATTTTTATATCTCGCTCTAACAGCTTTCGCATCTTGCTTATCGTTCGTGTTAAAGTCAAGGATAGCCCTTGTCCTGGTTGTTGTTAAAACATTCATGGCAAATATTGAACTTTGGAACTTTATCGCATGCAATTAACTTAATCATATAGCGGTTACGCTATCGTAGTATAGCTGGGTAACTTAATTGCGTATGTTTTAAAGCAATTAAATTTATAGTTCCCAATTTCAAAGGTCTTCGTGGTATGCTTAATCAAGGACCCGATACTAGTCTTAATCAGTCTCCGATATTACATGCTAGACGCATTAGTCATCACATTACTGCAATGATATGAGCACATTGTTGCTTCTACGAATTTCCTTTACGTGAGAGAACGTATAGCTGTAAAATTCCTGTAACGTGTTTCCTGGTATAAGCGGGATTCAGAATAATTCAGTAAGACACACGCAAGTTTTTCATTTTCTATCGCTTGCTCACGTAACTGTCCTCTGCATTAAAAAGAGTGGTATCGCTTTAATTGTTCAAGATAAGAATAATCGACAAATTAACTCCGTCAAATGTAAAATATTACTTAGATTCAAGCAATAAAAATAAAAGATTACAATGCTCGATATATTGCTGGATATTAGTCAAAGAAACGAAGATACCGAGAGAAGCAATAAGAAAGAAATAAGATAGAAATAATTATCGTTTGACGAGGCTCTCGGGTCTTTAAAGACGCTGGACGGGGTGCCTCTTCCTCGTCGTACATCGTTGATCACCGCGCATGTACAACAAAGCGAGGTCGCACCAAACTGGCGGAATTCCCGTGCACGTTTACGCGAGTATCGACCTTAGAGTAGCGACGGCGGAGTACTCTAGGAGAGCACGACAAAGAGCGCAGGCGGAAAGCCGAGCGAAACGATGATAGAAAATAGGAGAGGGAACTGTAATTTCTCGTGCGAGCGAGGAGGAAAGGAAGGAACGAAGGAGAAAGGAGAATGAGCCATCACATGCCCTGGGTCGATACTCTAGCACTGAACCCGCTGGTGATACTCATTGAGTACGGCTGCACCGGTCCCGAGTACGACTGCACCAAAGGACGGGACCAAAGGCTGTTCGCCTGGCATTCACAAGCGCGACAAAGAGATACGGCCGGTTCGTAAGAGAGGGAGGGAGAGAGAGAGAGAGGGTACACACACACAAGCCAGTGCTGAAGTTCATTCGGCGGACATCTGCACTCGTGAATGAGAATCGAAGTTCGGATTCGGATTCTTGGTTTCAGAATGACGCAAGTATCATTTAGCCACGCCGCGACACATTGTTTATTATGTTAGTAATGTAGAATACGCAGAGAACACATTCCTTCATTAATAATTAGGGCTCCACTGTTCGTGCATTCAATTTGGTGTTTCGAAAGCATCATGAGCAGCTGGAACAATGATCGCCGAGAAAGAAATGCATTCTGACAGGATATGGGTTTATCGAATTTTCCACGTTTCCTTTCATTCCATTCCGAATATTTGAACCAATTCGGCGATGGTTCTCTTTTTATGATTTGAAAAACGTCGCTACCTGAATAATTTTATTAAGAAAAAGCTTATTCCACTTATTATATTGGTTCTAAATAGGTCCATTCTAGCAAATTAAAGAACTAGAAAATGCGGAAAACACTCTTAGGACTTTACGATGATTACTTCGCCTCTGAACGAAACGTGATAGTTGAGAATTAACGCACGGCTGGAAAAATCTCTGATGATATTTCCAGGAAATAAAGAAGCGGATTGTTCTATATAGCAGAAGAAAAATGCAAGGCCCACCGGAGCACGGCTTACTCGTTCAGCTCGCGTAATCCTGGGATTTTATTGTCCGACACATCCTGCTTGGACTCTCGAACTTCAGATTTTATATCGCATTGATTAATTGATGTAGATTGATCTTTGGATGGTTGCTGACGTTCTTTGTTCCGAACTGCGCGCGGAACATTCCGCTATTTTAGATTCGCTTTCCTTTGTACCGAACTTTGCACCTGTACGGTTACGAACCGTACCGTTCTCCTGTCTTCATCACGTAACCTTGAGTCCGTCGATACTGCGTACTGTTGCTGGCCAATGAAAGACAGTGAGACATGTACTTTCCAAATTTGCGTTTTTTGATGGAAAATTTACACTAACGAATTTCCCTGCTCGGCAAAACAAAGTTGCATGTGAAACTCGTAATCTGCGTTAACGAGTCGATGATAGAGGCGATATTAAATTTTCACAAAGCGATTTGTATCGTTTGGATTTTACTCAGCGACCTTTTAATAATTCTTACTTAATTTTATCCGTAAAATTGCAATAATCTTTTATATAACTTTTTGCTCAAAATTTTTATCTAACAAAGAAAAGCGATTTAAGAGAAAATGATACAGTCGTGCATGTTGCAGATAAAAAGCGTTTGCAGTTTGAGCCGATTTTTTGTGGTACTTGTTAAGAGGATCTCTGTAAATTGTTCGACAGTTCTTTTTTATTCACAACCGGGTATTAGCTCAAGGATCCCCCGAGCGAGCTAATAAAGCTATCTTGCACGAATATCGGATGCACACGTTAAGAGTCTCAGGTGTTTTCTTGATAAGGATGACAAATGCGCGTGTCGAGATAGCCAATGTGGATATTCCTGTGCTATAACAATACCTAACAATACTGCGTACATACTTAACTGTGTCTCAACATCCTTAATGATAATATACGTGCCAAGTGAAAGGAAACTCATCAAGATGATAATGATAATCAAGCCTGCACTATCAAGGACTGATAAAAGTATTTTATGAAAAAACGCACAATTTTTTTAAAATTTATATTATTTAAGTTTGCAACTGAGAAATAAAATAATTTAATTGAAATATTCCAACGTAACACAAAATATTTAACAAAATATATTTCTTTCCAACCATGAATCGTCGCAGTACAAAGTACGAACTCAGATAAGAAGTTTTCAGTAAACGGTATTTCTTTCTGTTTGCGCTACCGAAATTATTTGTGCCAGGAATTATCTGTACCTATACTCTTAGCGTGTCTCTTAACGCTCGCTAATGCTGTATTTCTAGAAGCTCGGCTGGAATGCAAGTAACGACGTGATTTCTCGTAAAGCGATGACTCATAAATTGGTTCCGAATAATGTATAATTAATTCCTTATTTCTCTGCAAGATAGGAAATTCCGGATTATGGGTAGGAGATCGAAGTTCACGCTGCGATCCCCCCTCTCTCTTCTAGGCACACTTCCGCCGACGATCCCCGGAAAGCGTCATCGTTGACTGTTCCCAGTACGCGTGCACTCGCAGCAACGATAGTCTCTGTCCGATAGATTTCATGACTAATGACCTCGATCTAGCGCAACATGTTTGATACGGTCTGCGTATCCCGTCTTTGTCCGCGGTAGAAATCGTGACACTCATTACATCGGAAAGATAGAAAGGCTTTCCGCGATTACGCTTCCGAACGCGCTTCGAAAGCAATCGATTCGCTCGCTTTCGTGAAATGGACAACGCATTCGCGTGGGTGGGCCACCAGAGACAGTATCGCGTAATTACAGGCAGATGTACGTAAGCTTTTACGTAATCGAACCGTCCGTTTCTGGCCATCGCTATTATTAGAAGTCACGCGTAAAAATTTTCGTCGAAATATCGCGTCTATGCGTTACCCATAATTCAAGTGGCGTGAAAATACCGCGAGAGAAAATACGTGGGAACCTGCCGCGACGAATTTCCGAGGAAATAACTTCGACCCAAATTTGCAAGCGCGAATTTCGAACAAATATCGCCTATCCTGGTCTTAAGTTACCTCAGCCAATATACAAGTCACTTTAATACTTTATATGTTAGAAGCAGGGGATGCTCGTCAATTGTTCATTTCTCTTTTCTCCCGCCATTTTCCCTGAACAACTAACGTCTCCCAAGGGCGTGGTACGTATTGGAAACTTTCGTCCTGGTGCATAAAGTACCTTGAACGACGTGCGTGCTTAGCGAGATTGACTCGCACAAGATGCCACGAGATTGCCGCGAACCGTAAAGTCTTGTCTGAGCGTTCAGTAATGGAGAAATTATTTTAATAAGCGTAAACTGCATACATCAACCGCATACATCAACCGTAATACATCAAATGCACTGAAATTAAAAGAGTCGGGATAACTTCACGTTCGTCAACTCCTACTTGCGTCTATTTTCTCGGAACAGTTAATTGCCGGCAAATAGCATTAATCAAAGGCGAGAGAAAGATTATTGCAAAAACGCACTTTCATGAAATACGAACGTTTCCTTTACGTTGCTAAAATAAGGATTCGCGTGCGTACAGTAAACTCGATATCAAAGCAGCTCGATTATAATTGAATAAAGCACTTAATTACAACGATTGTTGCCTTTGTCACAATATTGTCAGCGAGAGGCCGAGCGAAAGGCACGCGCATCTCGAATGCCAATTTTTTTTCGGAGCCACTTTTCTGTTCACCGTAATTGACCGAGAGAATTACGCGTTCCCTCGGGAACGTGAAACGTATCCCCATATAATTACTTCCTAATCGAACAAC